AAATCAATAGGCCCCTGCGCCTTAGAGGCTTGGGCCCTAAAAATAAAAAGAAAGGAAAATGGTACAAGTGAATTCAGGCATCAAGCAACATTACAATGTGCAGTATGTTTTCTAGTATGTATGCAGAAGTTTATTTCTGGTCTTTTAAAACCATTATTTAGAGATAGGAATCAGAAGGGATCTGGCGATATGACTGATTTCTGGGTTATAATATTATTATTTTTTCTACATCTCACAGTCTTGATTTGAATTGTGAATTGTGGTCTTCAAGTGGAACATTTAAAGAGAATACTGACATATTTTGAGCTAAAATATCCCAATCGTTTGAAAGATCCCTTCCAATATCAACCGGCTGATTTTGAAAAACATATACAGTATAATCATTGTGCATCTCCCTTTCTGATAAATTATGTGAATTGTAGTGTAGTAAAGAGTGAAATAGTAGCTCCCCGGCTGTACTCAATGGCCATCTCTATGGCCAAACTGTCATCAGAGCTAGGACATTTCAAAAAGTGCTTCAGCGCCTGTGTGTGGACAGACAGATACAAATACATTAATAAGCATTTAATGACTGATGTAATTAGCACAGTCAGTTGAGTAAAGAATCCCTTTGGAGATAATGAGCAAAGAGGGAAGAGCAACCAAGTGTGATGAAAAGTGAGAGCTTAAAAGTCAAGAGGAAGTGCACTCAGGCATGGGAAGGGAAGGAAAGAGAGAAAAGAATTTACACAAACAGCACACACAGTTCTCGTACCCTGCTGTACTGTCCACACTTCTGAAAGAACTTCCCAGCCTGAAGATGATTCTTCTCCCCCTCAAAATACAGCGCTATGCTCTGATAGTCCTCTATTGTAGCCTCTGAACCTGAACACATGCATACAGCATGATAAAAAATAAAAAAAAACTCAAATTGAATTTTGAATAAGTCTTGTAAATGGTGCTGTGTAGTTAAATGAAGTAGGTCATTCCTATATGCAGCACTGAAATGGTTGTGCAGTAATTGAAGGAAGTATTCTTATAACAGGGTTTACTATATTTTCAGAAATACACTCTGCATAGTAGGAATGACCCAAGTGTGAGATGATCAGAGAGATCACCGATGATGTTAGCGTAGACCTCCATCTGCCCATGCTGCTGGGCGAGCTGAAAAGCTTCATCACTGCAACGCGACAAAACCAGGAACTGGATCGCTGAGCCGTAATCACTCAAACGCAGGAAAAACCTGTGCAGACACCGAACATTTATCACACTAACAGAACATCAAGAACTTGAATTAAGGATAGGTGCTTAAAGGGGTCATCAGATGCAAAATTCACTTTTACATGTTGTTTGAACATAAAAGTGCGTTGGCAGTGTTTGTACACATCCACCCTATAATGATAAAAATCCACTCAGTGTTTTTTTTAATCCCTAGAAATAATATCCCCTTTCTCATATCAAGCCGTTCATCACATCACACAGACCCAGGCCCCTCCCACGATTGTTGATTGACACTAGCGTTTTACTTTAGACCTGCGGTCTAAAGAGCTGTCATCAGTCCGCCATTGTTTCGACGCCGGAGCAGGAGTAGACAAGAATATCTCCTAAGCGATTGAGGTGTTTTGTTGTTGGATGTAATAATGAACATAGCAGTCGTCATTTACTCCCGACATCTAAGCCGCTGAAGACGCAGTGGATTACATTTGTTTTTGAAGGGAATGTGCCCCGGATCTACCTAAATGCGTTTATGTTCGCACGAATCATTCGTGATCCAGCCTCACCTCCAGAAGAAGTGAGTATAAGGTTCTTTTATGAATCTTTGCAAATCGCTTTCCTAAATAACGTGCTAGTTAGCAAGTTCCGCGGCTAAATGCTCAGAGGGGCGGGGAGAGCAGAGCTCATTAGCATTGGAATATTAGAAACATGCATTAAAATGTCTTGCTGTGTGCAGAGCTGTTTTTGACAGGGTAAAAAAGGGTGTTGTTTTACACTACCATTGAGAAATTTTAACCAAAGTATGTTATAGACTTTTCATTAAGACCCTAAAGAATCATATCAACTTGTGGAAATGACCATCCGATGACCCCTTTAACCCTAATAATCTGGAAAAACCATTTTTGCTGGTTGGCAAAAAAAAAAAAAGAGAAATGTTAGAATTAAGTTTTCTTGGCACACAGATTATTGGTGTTTCTCTCTTTACTCACCTGGCCACCACTTTGGCTCCTTCAATGGACTGAGTTTCTCGTACGATGCGTACAGCCTCCTCAGGGTTGTTAAGATGCCCCAGTAGGATTCGAATTACACTGTCCCAGTCTCGTGCACTTTCATAGGCCATTGCTGCCTCTTTATATCTACACGGATACACAAAATTTGTAAAGTGGCAATTCGGGGAATGTTGGACTAAGTGTTTCTTGAACGTGGTTTTACAATAGTGTTCATAACACAAGGAGACGCATTTTCCTCGATAAACACTGTCAACTTTCAGAATTTAAAAATTCTATTTGGAGAGAAAAAGACTACTTATTAAACGGAGATGAAAAAATACGCTATAAATCACAAACCAGATTTTCAGTTAATCCGACAATTTGTTTGCTGAAAATATTTTTTTCTTTGTGCAACACACTGTGCTAAATTATATTTTTTAAAAAATAAAGGAACTTATGGAAATAGTAATTCAATTATGGAAACAATAATTAAAAATAGTATGAACAAGCGACCTTTATATTTAAGTCCTCACTTTGTTGGAGTGTGTTTTCTTAAAGGGACTCTATTGCATTTGGTACATACTTGCCATCCACCTCCTTTGCCTTAGCATACTGCAGGTGAATCTTTGGGGAAGTCACATGGGGCAGGAGCTCACCCACTTTTGCCCTGTGTTTAGACATCAACATTAGTTACAAATTAGCTACAAATCACAAATTTGCTTCTACTGCACAACACTCAAATTTGTGATGTACACTGTTAATTACTGTTGTGAAGTTGTATTACCAGTTTTTGCAGCGTATGTAGACGGAGGCAGCTTTGTCATAGTACTGGCCTTTCTCATACAGCTGAGCCGCTTCAGAATATTGCTGCACACAAAACCATTCAGCCAACAAGAAATTCTGAATCACAGCAAACTACTAACAGAGGTAAATGAAAGTGATTTGTATGTCAATAAACACACATAAACAAACAAACACACACACACACACCTTCATGCTTTCCAGAATGGCTCCACAGTCTTTCTTCAGAGCTCTGCTGGGGTGTTTGATGGCCTGGTTAGCTCCTCTACGAATGTCACTCATACGAATAGACATACGAGCCACTCCTGCCAGACAGCTCTCATCATGATCCTGGAACTACAAACACACACACATCAGGATCTCCCGCTAGCACCAGTCACTGAATGAGCGATGCCTTGTTCCATCACAATGAGGCACAACACTTTCACCCTCTCTGGTGGAATCAGATGCCAGCCTCCCCTGAAACTGCTGATACCATCATAATAACCTTTTCATTTAATTTTCATTTTTGGATGAGAATTCCCTTTAAAGTTGCTGATCATCATTTTACAAACGTGCAGACACTCACCTTGTTGTTTCCGGTTATGCCTTTCTCATAGTGAGCCAGTGCATTCGTATAATCTCCACTAGAGGGCAACACAACATATGACATTACATCTTCAGCGATAACACAGTCAGACACATCCAGCACAGAAAACAAGTCCATGTCACTTACGATCAGATACAGTAAACTGTGCATAAGCATGTAATGTCTCCAAAACAGGTGTAATTAACTCACGTAATGTAGCTGACTTACACAAATTCCAGCTGTATGGCATATTCTTTAGAAATAAATGGGATCTCATCAGGGTCCAGTCTTTTAGCCAGCTGTAACGCACTGTCCCAGTGCTGCAGGTCCCTTCTCATCTACACACACAACAGCTCAACTGCTACAGTAATAAAAGTAACTTGGGAAGTATATACTAAGATGCACACATGTGAATTTTCATGCGTGTGTGCACATGTCTATTTTACCTCCAAAGCTGCCATAGGATAAGAAGAAGTCAGATACAAGTCCTGGGCTCGGTTGTAGTCATTGCAGAACATGGCCAAATGACCAGCCAGCAAATTTTGATCTTCAATTCCCTACAGACACAGTTGAAGAAAAACACTTCATTGCATTAAACATTTTAAACTTCTCTTGTTCCCCAGACACAAAATTGCTCTGTTCCAAAACTTGATGCTTCGCTGCTTACTACCTAAATGGACCCTTTTCTCAGACTGATGTCATGTTTCCACAGTTATTGACATACACACTATATCACCTTGGCATTAACTTACAGCAAACTAATTAATGCTGCCGTGTGAGCATTACTTTCTCCGTGAGAGATACATGCGATGCTTTGATTTTAGGGGGCAGATGCACAGCTTTTGGAACAGCTTTGAATCTTAGAAATAAATGGGATCTCATCAGGGTCCAGTCTTTTAGCCAGCTGTAACGCACTGTCCCAAAGCTGTAGTTCCCTTCTCATCTACACATATGATAGCTCAACTGTTACAGTAGTCAAAGTGACTTGGGAAGTATAGATGCATACATGTAAACTTTCATGAATGTGTGTGTGTGTGTCTATTTTACCTCCAGCGCTGCCATAGGATACGAAGAAGTCAGATACAAGTCCTGGGCTCTGTTGTAGTCATTGCAGAACATGGTCAAATGACCAGCCAGCAAATTCTGATCTTCTATTCCCTACAAACACAGTTAAGGAAAAGCACTTCATTGTGTTAAAGAGTTCTGTTTTCTTAAATTACAGACAAAAACGGCTTTGCTTCAAAACTTAGTTAGCTGCTTACTACCTGAATGGAGTCTTTTCTCAGACTGATAGCATGTTTCCACAGTTACCGACATTGTATTTTTTTTTCTAACACTATATTTTGTTACATTACCTGGGCATTAAATTACAGAAAACGAATTAAAGCTGCCATGTGAGTGTTTCTAATACATTGGCTGAAGGTGTAATGGCAAATTTGACATCTTTCTTCTTCTGACCAATGTAATCAATCTCTCTATATTATTTTTCTCTTATGGAAAGTCATAGAAAAGCTATCATGGATTTCGTCTTTTGTACTGGAGCAAACAGGGGGGAAAAAACAACAACTTATATTTGCTGCTGTTTCTGTTCACCACTATAGAAGTTTACCCAAAATGAAAATGTGAAGAAAAAAAAAATGTTCATACACTGCTGCCTTCTATAGAAGAATCCTAACTGAGATTCTTATAATTGATTCCATTAGAACATTATTCTGCATCATATAAAAGTGCTCCTTATATGGAACACCTAGAAGACTCGACAATGATTTCAATACAGGTAACACAATAATTAATACCTACAATAGACATAGCGCACACAATTAATTACATTTTTTACTAAATATATGCATTTTATTTCATTATGTAAAAAAATTATCAATACTTGCCAAGACTAAATTACTTTTTTAATGTATCGTATTCGTGTTATCATTTTTAAAAATATTTATAATCAACATTTTTTTGCATTGTCCACAATGATGGATTTTTTTCACATAGGTTGCTGTGATGCATTATGCCATTACTTTCTCTGTAAGAGATACATGCAATGGTTTTAATTTAGGAGGCAATGTAATGAAATGCCCAGCTTTTGAGGCTTTGAATCAGTAAATAAGTGTAAATATGATGCCTTAAAAGTCGCAAAGTAGCATCGGGTTTTTTTCACATTGTGACATATCTAAGTAAAATGATTTATCAAAAAATAATTAATTGGTTGTCAATTGGATGGAGGCAGATCTTAATGCAAGCTTGCAGTTGATTATAAAAAAGGGGCAGGGTTTATGCTGACAAAATAACTGCAGAGAAGTCTGTTGTTTCATAACAATTTGAATAAAAATTACAAGATACATTTTTTTAATGAAACATATGCATGGATGAATTACTCACAATAAGATCAGTAACATGCATTTAGTATGGTGAATTTCCATTTTATACATGTGGTCACACCTTGATATCCTCTAGGGACATGACCATGCCGACGTTTCCCATCATGCGGTATACTCTGATGGCCAGTTCCACCTCCATGTGATGCAGACATGCCCTTCCCAGCTCACTCCATGCCTCAGTTCTGTACAGAGCTTTACAGATATTCCACGAATCAGAAAACCTGCACACACACACACAAGCATACTGTAATCAATGTTGCTGAAGAAATCTGAAGTGCTGTGATCATCGAGCAAGTGAAATCGGTTGTGATCATTGATACATTATGCATCCAACAACCATGCTTTTAGAAGCATTTAGGTTTGTATTATTTGGCTTAATTTAGTTAAGCATGCATAATAAACAACCAAATCAAACTAATGTAGCATGAAAATACCTTTTCAGCATAATGGCCTGTTGCAGTAACGACTGGTGTTTGTCTTTTCTGGTGTCACTGTGTGGGTTGTTGAGGAATGAATGTGTGTTCAAAACCACACTATTAATCTTCCCATTCTGGGTCTGACATGTCAGCTCCCCATTATGCAACAGCAAAGGCTTATGAGAAAATGGCAACTTAGTGGCACCAACTAGAATCACTTTAGAGCCTAGAGAAAAACACACACATAAAATAGCACAAATAAACAGTTTCATTGCCTAAATAAAACAAAACGTCTAGCACAGGGCATTGATGATTAGGAATGTAATTTTTAAACAAAGGTGAATATCTTTAAAAAAAAGTTCTGGAGCATCTGCATTCTTCCACTGTACTAAACTAAACAAAACATCACATATAAGCATCACAACTTTGAACTGATTTTCTGCTGGCTGTGTATGTGAACTTTCTAGCATGTGATTCACTGTTTCTTGCAATAAACACATTTTCACACACATGACATTACTGTACTGTTGATATTCTCATAGTTTGACAATTTGAGGTTTATCTCTCCAACGCACTGTCCATGCTTTCCTTAAAACCATTAGAAGAATGTCTAAAAGATATTAGTTTTACCCTGTATGGTGTCTTTGTGGAAGGCATATGTGTAGACTTTGTCCTCCTCATACGCCACAAACACAACCTTATTGCTGATCCAGTTTTCCCACAATACCCCTTTAATAGCAGGAGAGAAGTCTGGGATCTCAAACACTGAATCGTTCACCTGTAGGAAATACAGACTTCACTTAGTTTAAAGTTTGACACGAGTCTCTCAGCAATGTCAAATGTCAATGTTAAAAAGATAGTCCACCCAAAAGTAAAAAAAAATTGCCATCATTTACTTACCCTCATGTTGTTCCAAACCTGAATGACTTACTTTCTTCTGTGGAATACAAAATTTTTATTTTTTATTTTTTAATGGAAATCCAAAACTGGTCACCAAAACTGTTTGGTTACCAACATTGGTCAAAATATCTGAAAATTAAAGTCACACATGTTTGGAACAACGTGAGGGTAAGTCATCGCTTGGTGAACAATCACGGAAATGTGTTTGTTTGTGTATACCGGACAGTATAGGAAGCCGTCACTTTTTTCATCAATAAAAATGAGACGTGTTCCATTGGGGTCTGGAAAGACTTTGCGTACACCCACTGTGTGGCGATACTCATTAACACTCTGCCAGTCTTCAAAATAAAAACAGTGAATCAAGCCAGTCTATAGAAAGAAAGAGAAAAACACAAAGAATGATACAAATTTAGGTAATAAGGTACATAATGCCATGTTATATCATGAACAGTCACACTAAAAGGCTCACATTACTCACACTTTAAAGGGTTAGTTCACCCAAAAATGAAAATTTTGTCATTAATTACTCACCCTCATGTCATTTCAAACCCGTAATACCTTCGTTCATCTTCGGAACACAATTTAAGATATTTTTGATGGAATCTGAGAGCTGTCTGACCCTGCATAGACAGCAATACAACTGAAATGTTCCCAAGTCCAGAAACGTAGCAAGGAGATCTGTAAAATAATCCATGTCATGTGACATCAGGGGTTCAACCGTCATTTAACGAAGCTACGAGAATACTTTTTGTGCGCAAAAGCAAAAAAAATAACGACTTTATTCAACAATTTGTCTCCTCCGCATCACCCTGTAGCGCCGTTTTGGAGAGTATCAGCTGGACGTACACAACGTATGCTGTTCTGTCACGCCGGATCTGTTTCCTACGTTGTTGTGATTCGATCTGGCTCTCAGATTCCATCAAAAATATCTTAATTTGTGTTCCGAAGATGAACGAAGGTCTTACGGGTTTGAAACGACATGAGGGTGAGTAATTAATGACAGAATTTTCATTTTTGGGTGAACTAACCCTTTAATACCTTATTGCTTTTATAAAACAATGAAATGACAAACTTTTATTAAAATTTTATTTTAATAAGCATCATTTGCTAGAAGATATACTCTACACCATGTACACCATATATAAATAACAGAACTTTAATATATTATTAATAGAAACCTGGGAGTGGAACTGTAGGTTCTTCAAAAAACTATAGTTATTGAGGGGGAACAAGAAATACTGTGTGATTTCAGTTTACATCTTGACTGCACTTTTTTAGCATTGTATTTAAATTAAGTTAGATTGTTTTAATATATTAATCATTTAAAACTAATACTATCCACTATGCTGGAATTGTCATGTGAACTATGATGTAAAGCTGTGTCGCTGTTCTTCGCCAGTTAATGAATTTGATGGCTCCTGTGGCCTCATCGCAAAATAAAGTGTCCATTAGATGCGCAGAATCTGAATCTCACCAGAAGGCCATCTGGGTATCTTTCATCTAATGTTTTATGAATGCTGCATGTTTGGACATACTGTATTCCTCATTTAATGTACTAGTTTTTGTATACTGTGTACAGTAAGGAATAAGTGATGATGCATGTGTTTTATAAAGTATATTTTACCACAAACCAATCAGCATCCAGGACCATAACTATCCATTTAATAAAATAAGACAAGAGAAAAAAGATGCATAGATGAAATACTCACGTCCGTCCCATAATACAGAAACTCAGAGGTGAGAGCATGACTGAGGATGCGGTATTTCTGATCGGATTCTGGAAACAGTTTCGTCTGTCTGTCCTCCTGAACAACCTGCTCATCTCCATCAATCTTTCATGTAAAAACACACACACAAATTAAAACAAAAAGTAGAAAAAGCTGACAGTCATATTTTTTTTTACACATGATTAGATTCTTACCACGTGTAGCTGGATCTTCCCCTCAAACAAGGCAGCAGCATAGTCACAGTTCAGAGACATACTGGCCACTGTTCCTAAATACTCAGTGTCTTTTACACGCTCCACACCTAAAACATACACATGCACACTTAAATAGTTAGTTCACCCAAAAATGAACATTCTGTTATCATTTACTCATTTATATCATGATGTTCCAAATACCCATGAGCCTTTCAGGTTTTTTAAACCTGACAGCTTTCTGTCCTTCCATTGAAAGTCCAAGAAATCAAAATATAAAGTAATAAAGTTTTTTATTCACATATAAACTAGTGCAGTCAAACGATTAATCGCATCCAAAATAAGTTTTTGTTTACATAATATATGTGTGTGTAGTGTATATTTATTATGTATATATACATGCATGTATATATTTAAGAAAAAGATGTTACGTTTATATATTAAATATATAATTTATATGAATATAAATATATACACGTAAATAGTTTTTAATTAGTAAATATTTTCAAAATATATGCTGTATGTGTATGTCTTTATATATACAGAATAAATATACACACTACACATACATAGAGGGCATCACATGTGGTAAACATCTTGTCAAATGCTAGAACAAACCTCATTGGTTCTTGTGCATCAAGCACACATGCTTGAGCTTCCGGATTTACTGTACGTGGAGTGCTATATGTATGTGTCAATTGTTTTTTAAATGTAAATAAATGGCTAAATAAAATCTGTTCATCATATGAAGCAATCATATCTCTTTACAAAAATTGGATTAAACCACTCGATTCACATGGCTTCATCTTATGACACCTTTATAACGTTTTTGGACCTTCTAAGATTGGTTACCTGGACTTTCAATTAAGGGACAGAAACCTTTCTGGTTTTATAAAAAAAAATCTTAATTTGAAGATTACTTTGAAGATTAACCAAAGTCTTATGGGTCTGGAACTACTTAAGGGGGAGTAAATGATGACAGAGTTTTCATTTTTGGGTAAACTTTCCCTTTAAGTACAGAAAGTCAATACTACAAGTCAGAATATTCCTTTTTTCCACTAACATGAATTCATATTGTTTTTCCACTTACCACTGTCTCCTAATGCATAAAACCACGCTCTGTTATTCATGCCCACAGCAACATGATATGGTCCCACAGCTATGAAACTAGGCTCCACCTCCACTGCAACAGCAATGGGGGATTCCTTGGGAGAGAGAAAATACATCAAATTATATTATTACAATTTCTATGAAAAACATCCTGGTAAAAACACACAAACAATAGAAAGGTGTTCAGGGAGGGAGTCTTTCTGAAGGTCTCGCTACATGATTTCTAGTGTGTTCTGGCCGGTTGCTAAACGTTTGCATAATGATCCAGCTTAAAAGAACCTCCTGATATGGTTTGTTTTTTCAAAGTGTACTGTGTCAGCTCCTTACCCCTTCCACCTGGTTGGCGACCGTAACCTCCAACAGGGATGTAAGAAAGGCGATTCTAGTGCCACTGCTGTCTCCCAATATTGGCAGCTTGGTGAGGAAGACATGCAAAGTGCCCTGCTGAGAAGATACAACTAACAACTGCCCATCATCAGTCCAACACATCTGATCAAGGCCTGAGAAACACACATACAGAACTAAGAACTAATGCTTTTCACACAAATACAGTGCATCAATATGCATCAAAAAATATTTTATACCTTTGGTCTCCTCATCCAGAGTGACTATAGCATACATTTCCTTCAGATCAGTCAAGTCATGTATCTTAATACTGACAGGGAGATATAAAGATTTTCAATGAGTGGTGGATAAAACTGTCATGATTGGCAGAGAAAAAGGTAGAATGTGTGTCTGAGAGCTGAAGGCGAGTTGTAAGTGTAACAAGCAGGCCTGAGGATCATATATAGCTTTTAATCCTTTAAATCAATATGTAATGACTTTGTAGGGCTATGCTTCATGGCCAACATTTCTCTGTATTTATTTGGCTGAATTGCAATATACAGTATCTCAGTATTTTCTATGTTGTTGTTTTTTTCTATTTGGATTAAAATAATAATAATAAAAAACTGTATTTGTTATTGTCCAATGAAACAATATTCATATTTAAGGCTATGAAAACGAGTGGAATGTAACCATGTGCGCTATGGAATATATGACTGTATGTTTAGGGTTAAAATCACATTACATTCTAACATTGTAACATTACCATTTAAAACAAAAAATAATGTTTTTTTTAAAGCAGAAGTTAAATTTGCTAAACTAAAAATTAAAATAAATGGAAAAAAAATAAAACAGACTTTGTATATTAGGCTGTTTAGATTACCCCATTACAGTCACATTACAGTTAGTGCTATCATAAAAATACACGTGGCACATTTATTGTCCAACTACAAATATTTTAGCGAAATGTATATTTCAGTCTGAATTATTGTGCTCTGTCTGTTTGGCGCACATGCGCATGGCGGCGGCACTTGTTCACTGAAGTCTGTGAAGTTGAACAAAGCTTATCCTGACAGCAAAATGCAAATATTTCCATGACTTTCTAACATTTACAAATTGAGACTATACCTGTGAAATGCACTGAGGAAAACACCACATCTTAAACACATTAAACAGTGCAAGTAGCCTATCTGTCAGCACATGTACAGTATCTGTCAGAGCATCTGATGGGGCAACGCTTTAAACTACAGTGTTAACTATACCTTACAAGTTATTTTAAAGCCCTTAATATAAAGCATGTCGCATGTTTAAGACAAATTAGATTATGCACTTTCCCTGCAGCAGCTCACTGTGTGTCTACCTCTATTTTTGCGCTTGAATCAAATGACTGTATGTCGATATAATCATTATTGCCTTCTTCCATACCGCTTACAAAAAATATATTGATATCCCATACAAACTCGATATACCGCCCAGCCTTATGGCACTGTACATGTAAATTGGTTTTGACAACTGGCCAACAAGTCAATCTGCCCACCGGGAAATGTGGCATATGGCAGTTGTGCAAACATCTATTGTAATGACACATGCATACTAATAAACACTTACCAGTTGTCCCCACAGGACGCAGCCTTGTTTAGAGACTGTGAGATGGCGATGCTGGTCAGGCTGTCTTTATGATTGTGGGCTTGAAACAACTCTTGGCCAATTTCACGGATATGTGTGGAAATGACTACAAAGTAGCCATGTGAAAATCCAATCATGATATAGCCATCCCCATACCTAGAGAGAGAAAGGAAAATATGTGCAGTATATGAAAAACACACTAAAATGATTTTTAAGTGTTATAACTTCAGTATAAGAAATGTACATTCTAAATATAACATATTATTATTATTATTAGCTAAAATTACATGGCAACCAAGAAGTTTATTTATCACATCCTTTTTATCCAAACTTAAAGTTGACAGTTCACTGAAGGAACAGTCCTTCAAACTGTGGTTAAACAGCTTGTTTACGCACAATGTTTAAAGAGCAGAGCTCTTTAACCACCTGCATGCAGTTTTAACATGCATGTTAAAACTGTTACTAACACATTTAAGTACATCTCTGTGCGTGTGTGAGAAAGTGTGTGTGTTTGTACCAGCGGTAGGAGATGATGTTGCCGTAACGCTGCTGAAAGGCTAGTTCTATAGGGTTATCGGGGTAATTTAGATTAAACAGAAACAGGGTCTTCTTTCCTAAAGCCACACTAACCTGCAAGTTAAAGATCATTTAGTCATCCTGTATATATATTTGCATTCTCATGAAACAATGTGAAAAAGCAGAGCTGGAGTAAGTGGCCCAAGCTGTTATCAAGGGATGCATTTAAGCACAACATGAAGCCGAGGTGAGATGGTTGTGGTTGGCAAACAATGCAGAAACTAGCTGGTTGAAAACAAAATTCAACTGATGTGTAGTCACAGGTTTCACGAAGGCTTCAAATGCAGCTAATCCTTTCAGAATTACAAATTGGAACTGTTTAACAACGTTAGTTTATACAGTGATGCCAGACTCAGAATTAATTTGTTTTGAAATTGTATTTTTATTTGCATCTATAAAGTTCAAAATAAAAAGACAAAAGTAATTCACTGCATAATCCCATATTCTGATTGTTTATGCAATAAACAATAATGATAATGTATATATTTTTTATATTTTATAGTTTACTAATATACGACTGTGCTGTAAAACTGCTGATGTAACAATGTAAAAATATTATTGGAATATAAGATTTTACTCTTACGTTGACCTCTACCTATAAGTAAGTTCAGTGTAAAAATGAAGTAAAATGAGCATGTTAACATACAGTGCTTTCTCCTGGAGATGATCGCTCATGTTTTCATCACTGAGAACTGAACATCTGCAAGATCTGCTCTCACAGAGGTCTGAAGGAGAGAAAAGGAGTGGTAAACAGCATGTCTAATTATGCAAACAACATATACAATATTAAAGGATCTTGTTCTGAGAGACCCTCATGTACCTGTCGAATGGTGTCTCCCTCATGGTTGCTGATTGTTATGCTGCGGTCTTCACTGCCCAACGCCAGGAGGTTCTGAGAGCTCCAACAGCCACAGTGATCTTCTTTGTGTGCTTACCTACATGTACACACGTATGATGTGGAAACTATTCACACAGAATTTTATTAATATTATTATTATTTTTTTTTTTTCAATTATTGAATTTAACCCAGAATATATAATAGAATAAAGAGGAAATTAAAGAGAAAAGTATATAAATAAATAAAAGAGAAAAGTATATTTTGTGAGGATTACCAAACCCCCAGCATTTGAGTTTATTCTATAGAGCAAATCCTGTGTGTGTGGGTTTTTTTTTTTATTGCTTAATTTTACCCAGAACAGGAATCTTGCGTGACGTTTGCTGGTTGTAGATGAGCAGGTTTCCTTTAGATGTGCCAACAGCCAATAGTGGTCCAGTTTTAGACCAGAGCAGAAAGGACATCTGATCTCTGAATCAACCAAAAAAAATAAATAAAAAGAAAACAGCAACCCAAAGACATTTAAAAAACAATCCAATTCAAGGACTTTATTATTCTCAATAACACATTCTCTCATCACATCACTCACCTCATGCCACTGTCCAGCTGTGAGATTGTGTTAATATTTGCATCCCACAAGTAAATGGAACTGGACTTTTCAGCAATCACAGCCACAATATCACCATCTTTATCCCAGTCAAGAGATAGGCAAATCCTGCATGTAAATAAATAAATAATAATAAAAAATAAAAAAAACATGAAAGTATGAGCAATAACAGAAAGAGAATGTCGGTCCTGCAATATTATTACTCTTTAGTTATGCAAAAACAAAATCACATAAAATCTTTCTCTCTCAATTATAGTCTCAGATAGACAGAACATGCATGAATGCTCACTTACCCAGGGAGATTCAACTCATTAACCTTCTGTCCATGCCTATCAAAGATTTTTACAAAATTGTCAAGGCTGTGGCTCAATAAAATATGGCATACATAACTTTTAACTCAAGCGTTGCCTAAAAAGATGTACACTTAATGGCTAAACTAAGAAAGTGCAGGTACTCACCCTGCAACGGCAAGATAGTTTCCTACTGTTTTCATGTATTGCAAACATGATCCAGACCAGGACTTTTCTGACAGCGTGAAAACACGCTGAAAAGAGACAAAACTACTTTCAAATCAATACAGTTCGCTGATAAATTGAAGTCATACAATTTCAGGATAAAATGACCACAAAACGACATAACGTCACTATGAAAAAGGATAAAGTAAAAACAGTCCAGCCCTTTAGGTCAACATTTTGTTTATTAGGAGACACGCAAATATGACGAAGTTAATATTTCGCAGTTTATACATTTTTATTTACTCGCATTTATTTTCTCTGCTAAAAGACGTGAACTGCTGTTGAGCTAACTAGCCATCATGCTAACGCTATTGATGCTCCTAAAAGCATGCTAACTAATATTCATCTTTGACTTTGAGAAAAGCACATGTGCACTTCAAACAGCGACATTCCATTTTAAATACAATTGGACATTAAATAGTTTATATATGTAAAACATATGTGCCTTCATTTTTGTACGTCGAAAACGTTACACTTCCCAGGGTGCTTCACTCCGACGCGTCTGGATCTCTCTTAGCAACAGCCAGTCAGCTATGGGCTTACATTTCTGCCACAATTCTGCGCGCGAAAGATCATATGTGAAAAAAAAAAATGTAAGCCCATAGTCAGCGTTCAGCAAGACATGATCACTGACAAAAAAAAGCGAATTTATTTAAGAGATTGATAGATAGATAGATAGATAGATAGAAGTATATCTGATGGGGAGTATTAAACTCAAGGGTTTGCAGAGATTATTCCATACATACGGAAAATAATATTCGGTGCCTGTCTGCCTAAATTAACTCATATGAAATGTATAAACTTACTGTTGTTCTGGTGACATGAGATGCAGAACACTCTCTTCTTCATCCACAACTTTGCTTCCTGTAACCAGATAGAAATCTTAACGTTCACAACCTTCCATTTAGTACTTTTGCAGTTTATGACAAAAAAACATACACAGTATGTTTCAAAAAAGTAATTTTAGGTTTCCAACATATAAAAAGGGTTTACAATATAAAATGTCTAATTAGAAACTGCTATTCACGTTATTTAAAAAAAAAAATGTAAAGGCTTTTGTAATCAAGTCAGCTGAAAAGTATGGACCGGTCACTTTTTAAACCCAACTATTGATAGACCTGGGTTATGGTGTCAAAACTGAGATTTCTGACCTTTAGACTTAATCTATTCTAACAGATTATATGTGAATTTTTTATTTTTTTTTAAACATACCTCTTCCAGATTCATTGCAGATGGCACTGACTTGCTCTCCAAATGTCACTTCATTGATGCTCGCTTTAAAGAATCAGAAAAGAGTTTGTGTTTATTTAAACTGAAGCCCTTTGCATTCCTCAAAGGAAAACAATGTCTGGGGTTTTACTAGCTCATTTCAGCACAGGTACTTTTAGAATCTTTAAATTGACATACAATAGCATACACAATCATTTTTACTTCTATAATGTAAAATTGGGGTGCCATATATCAGAGCCATTCACAATGGTTTTTTGCATTTAAAAACATGAGATGCTGCACAGTGGGGGGGAAACTTTTGTTAAAGTTGAATTGTTTTTAACTTAAGCACCACATTTTTAGATTGCGGTGTCATGCCTTGAGAAACTGCCAAAAAAACGCAAATGTGACAGTCAAACACATCTGTTTAGCATGTGATCAGCCCCTAAGGGTGGACAATTGTAACTATGGGAGACATCCAAAATAATGAATCTTACCTTGTGGAGTACTGATGGCTCTCCCAACCCGTTTTCCTCGTCCTGAGAGAGAGGAGAGAGTGAGTGAGTGATTGAGTGAGTGAGAGAGAGAGTGAGAGCACGCACTTACAGTAAAAAATATTTTTAACTGATAATACAGATGATCTTTATTAAAGTACACAAAAAGCAATGCATTTTGCTTTATTACTGCCAATGCTTTTTTTTTTACACAATTTGTAATTTTTCACCCATATCGGAAGCAAAATACGCCTTGGAATGGCCAAAGTTTGTAACCATAATTGTAATTTTGATAATTTCTTATTACATAGAATGTGAAATCTATCTATTTGTTTAATCTCAACAAGTCTTTATTAGGGGCCAAGCACCGAAGGTGCGATGGCACCTATTGTATCCATTGGCATTCTTCTTCTTCCGCTCTGGAAGTCTATGGCAGCCCATAGAACCGCTTGCGGGAAAGTTATGAAATTTGGCACACTGATAGAGGAGAGTCTCATCATCAACCACAGGAAGTTTGGAGTCTCTAACTCAAACTCTCTAGTGCCACCACTTGTCCAAAATTTCACTCATGTTTATGCTAATAACTTTTGAACCGTAAGGCACAGAAGGGAATTTTTTTCTTTGAATCCTTGGCTCATGCCAAGTAGAATGAAAGGTTTAGTTTTTTCCGCTATTTTTAATTGTTCGAAAAACCTACTTTTTCGAACTCGTCCTAGACGGTTTGACTGATTTTCACCAAAATTGGCTCAGATCATCTTCAGACCATGCTGGCAAAAAGTTATGGAATTCAAGTTTAGTAGATTAGTCAAACCGTTCTCGAATAACGCGCAAACGAATTCGGCGAAAAGCGCGCAAAAAAGGATGTGAGACTATTTCTCTGCAACAGTTTGGCGTATTGAGACCAAACTTGGTTGCAGTGTTTCGGCGCAGTGCCACCTAGTGGTCAGGAGATACAAAAATGGCTATTTTTGCTTATAACTTCTGAATGGTTTGACCAAAAATCACAAAACTCTTTAGATTTGGTGCAGCATGCCGAGTCGAATCATACCCAATTTTCCCATATCAGCCATTTTTGGCATTGGCCATTTTGAATTGTCAAAAAATTCAATATTTTACGAATGCTTTGACGTATCGTTACGAAACTCGGTATGCATCTTCGGCACTTTCAATGGTACAGGGTACCATTATTACGGACTGCCCGTGCACAAAGATCTTTTATATCATCCAGTATAGCTCTGTTAAATAAATTTTTGTGATATCACAGTTGTCATTTTACATCTATGGCAGTGATTCTGTTGTTGTGAGAGGGATGCTGTTTGGTGCTGGTTGTATTTATTTGTGATGTGTTGTAACCTGTTGATGTTTGTATTGTTAATTATTGTTGTTGATCACTGAAGAGTTGCCACAGATACAAAAAGAATTTCCGAAAGGACAATAAACTAAACTAACCATGCCCTGATGGTACTCAAAAAGTTTGGCCCATAATTGGCTAAATTTCCTGTCCGCCATTTTGAATTATGTTGAAAACCTACTTTTTCGAACTCCTCCTAGACCGTCAATCCGATTTTCACCAAATTTGACTCAGATCATCTCCAGACCCTGCTGGCAAAAAGTTATGGATTTCGTGTCGATATACGAAACGGTTTTCGTTTAACGCATCAATGAATTTGCTGGAAAGATGCCAAACTGCAATGCATCTGAGGTCTCTGCAAAGCTTTGACATATTTACACCAAACTTTGTATGTGCAATTGTCACCTCAAACTGACCACGCCACATCAATTTGGTAACAGTGCCACCTATTCATCAGCACCACCTAATAAATGGTTTATTACCAAGAGTAATAAACCATTCATTAATCATTAATTATGAAATTTCCAAAAATGCTAATAATTTTTGATTGCATTAGCCTACTGTAATGAAATTGGTCTCAAAATTCCTTGTGTCATGCCAACAACACGCATACCAATTATGCCATAGTCAGCCAAACTTCCTGTCCACCATTTTGATTTATGCTGAAAACATACTTTTTCTAACTCGTTTTTGTATAACGTAAAAAGTGCAAACCGTTTTTGTATACGGTTGCCAAATGCCAAAATGACTGTTGCATGATGCCAAAATGACTCTGAGGCTGTATCTCGGCAAAGCTTTGACATATTGACACCAAACTTTGCGTGTGCCATTGTCACTTAACACAGAACACACCACATCAATTTGATAACAGCGCCACCTATTGGTCAAAAGTGATAAGCCATTAAATCATATTACTAGTAGTTGTATTTACCATTTTTCTGCCATTTTGACCAAAATCATCTTAAAATGGTTTTAATTACTCATTGCTGCAGTTGGTCTGATGCTTGCTTCTGTAGTGCTTGGCCCCGTAATTGCTGCTTGCAGCAATATTTTTCATTATTTTCTTTAAAATGAGTCTTATATGAATATGGAAAACATATTATAGAAAATAAAATAAAAATGTAAAATTCATTTGAAGACGTGTAATTAATTAAAACCAGAAGTTAGGGCTGGGCACAAAATCGAATGCGATTTTCAAAAAGGCAATGAATCGCCTGCGATTTTGAACGCGATTTTGTGTAGCTTGTCAGTGATCTACGGCTCTGTGTAGTAAATGCTGCTCCATCTGAAAACACGTGCTGGATATTTACTATTTATCACCAGAAGCGGCTTTACTGACGAGATTTGCATGAAAATCGCATTCGATTTTTTGCACAGCCCTACCAGAAGTATAAAAAAATTACATTAGAAATAAATTATATCTTTATTGTTCTGTATAAGCAATATTATTGTTCTGTTGTTGACAACAGAAAGGCTGTTATTTGGTTTACCTGTTGAAAACACTGTAGGGGAAGAATGGGTCCTGACTGGAGTTACCAAGCCAGCATAAGTGCGACGCCTGAAAGAAAGAGTAACTGTAAATGCAACATATCTAATTAAATAATCTTTACAGATAATGTTTGCTGATGATACTATTATTACACTGATAGTATACTGTCGATGTCTAATTATCTGTTGTACTGGGATGTAGCTCAGTTTTACCTGAGAGCAGATTTAGGGGTTTGTGCAGGACCTTTAGCAGCGTGAGGATTTAGAGGGGTGGCAAAACCTGTCTGCCCCCCAACGTTTGCTGCCTGGGCAGGAGAAGCCACAGCATTACCCTAAAGAACGAGCAAGAGAAGGAAAAACAGGGGAAGGAAGCAAAGTCATCAAAAACCAGCAGTAACACTTAATGGCTTTGTTGCCAGTCTTCAACTACTTTCCGATGCAGGTGTATGTTTGACTCACGTTTCGCCGGGGTGACAGTGTGAAGTTGGCCAGTTGGTTCTCCATCTGCTGTTGTTCTTGTTGTTGTTTTTCCTTTTCAAACTGCTTGAGGTTATACTCCACCTCTGCAGCCAACTGCTCATCAGCAGCAAACAACTCCTTCACTTGTGAACGATAGTCCTGCATGGTCACCTGTAACACACACATAAAAGGCTTGAGTCAGAATAAATGTTTGTTTGGCTTTTGTTTGGAATAAAGAAGTGTTTCAAATACACATGGTTAAACTACTACTATGTAATAGAGATGGGTATGAATAACAGATTACTCATAAAATGACAATGATCAATTTACTCAGCTACTCTTTTGTTTTTTTTTATGTGAGTAAATTATGGTCAGTGGTTAATATAATGACACTTTCCAATTTTCTGTTGCTTAAACAGTTGCAAGAAAATTACTACAACTAAAACAAAG